GCAATGAACAGAAAACCAAAGCACATTTTTCCTTTTTTAACTTTATTCAAATTAATATGAGGGTATAATATTCGGGTTTCATTGTTCTCACTTCTAGGGTAAAGTTCCACTTGTAAAGAGCCCCTCACCCGGGCGGCATGTCATGCACCCTCACAATGCAAAAGCACATTTTTACTGAGCACCTGTTGGAGTCAAGGCATGACCCAGACCAGCTTCGTGCTGATGACATTTGGGATGCGGAGCTGAGACAAACTTAAGGAAGGCCATTTCGTGGGTGCAAAGAGTCTGGAATGTAGAGTCAGGTTCTGGCTTCATTTGGATCCTGGGTTTGTCACGGGCCACAGTCTCTCTGAGCCTCCATTTCTCATCAGCAAAATGGGAACAATAACATCTACCCTGTGTATTTCATAATCCAAAAAAAGAATGAAGTACTCAATGGGAAAACACTTAGGAAGTGATAAGGACTCCGCACACACAGGGATTATTATTACACGGGACAATCAAATTTGGGGATTGGAGAATTTAGATTGGGTGAACAAGGTCTTTCAGCCAATAAATGGGCCCAAGCAAAGCAGGTTGGATGATGTACTTGGCGTAGAGCTAAGAGACCAGGTGGGTGGTGCTGAGGGAGGGGGTTGCTGGGAGCATGCTGGGACTAGATTTGCAGGGTTGTCAAAGCCTTGCCAATGAGTTTGGTCTTGGCTGGAGCAGACAGTAGGGGACCATTGCAGATTCTTGAGCTGGGTAGAGACCTGAAGAAAGTGGAGAGGTAGCAAAAGTGATTCACAGCCTCTGAAGCTTACCATCTTCTTTGGTAATGACAGGTCCTTTCTACATTTCTAAGCTCACACAACACTTTCTTTCTTTCTTTCCTTCCTTCCTTCCTTCCTTCCTTCCTTCCTTCCTTCCTTCCTTCCTTCCTTCCTTCCTTTCTCTCTTTCTCTCTTTCTTTCTTTCTTTCGAAACAGAGTCTCACTATGTTACCCTCGGTGGAGTGCTATGGAATCACAGCTCACGGCAACCTCAAACTCTTGGGCTTAAGTGAATCTCTTGCCTCAGCCTCCCAAGTAGCTGGGACTATAGGTGCCTGCCACAATGCCCAGCTGTTTTGTTTGTTGTAGTTGTTGTTTGGCAGGCCCGGGCTGGGTTTGAACCCACCAGCCCCAGTGGCACCCTAACCACTTAACGACAGGCACCAAGCCACACACAACACTTTCATCTCCACTCACTCCTGAAGGTGTTCTTGACTTCTCTGGAAGGACTTGCTATTCCTCTGGACTCTTATAGTTATCTCTGGCTGGACTGTATCTCTTTGGGACCTGTTGTACCCTGATCAAAACTTCCTGGAAAACATTCATGGTTTTCTGCCTATACCCTCTCATCCCCCAGCCCACCAAGATCTCTTCCTTCTTGGAGCTTCTGGGTTGTATGCCCCACTGTGGGGCTCTGTTCATGGAAGGGAGTGGTTCTCAGTGCTAGGTGCTCATTAGAAGATTGGTTTTTAGGCTCGGCACCTATGGTTCAGAGGCTAGGGCGTCAGCCACATACACCAGAGCTGGTAGGTTCAAACCTGACCTGGGCCAGCTAAACAACAATGACAACTACCAACAACAACAACAACAAAATAGCCGAGCATGTGGTGGGCACCCGCAGTCCCAGCTACTTGGGAGGCTAAGGCAAGAGAATCACTTAAGCCCAAGAGTTTGAGGTTGCTGTGAGCTGTGATGCTATGGCACTCTACCCAGGGAGACAAAGATAAGACTTTGTCT